AACGTTTGAGGGGAAGCCATCACTCTGTTGGACAACGCTGTCTTGATTGTGGTGGTTGCTCGAAATTCTATTTTTTTTGTAATTGACCAAATAAATCATTGTTCAATTTTTCATAAATTTGGCTATCGATTTGATCATTTATAACAGACAGCCTGTTCACAAGAGGGCCCAACAAAGTGCTGAGGGTGCAGAGATGAGGATCCTGCTCACAGGCACAGCAGACCCTGCCATGCCAGGCCGTGGGGCTGGGACATTGCTCCCTGAGGAGCTGGGCTGTGGGGCTGCCCCTGCACTCCCTGAGGAGTGGATGCTGCAGGAGCAGTGGGGCTGCCTGGGATGTGCATCCCGTGCCTGCAGGCTCAGCCAGGCTCCTTAGTCCCGGGTTGCACCCACAGGAGAGAGGGGATGAAGGGCCATTGCCTTCCTCCTTCTTCTGTCACAGCAGGGACTGCTCTGAGATGTGAGACCCGCTCTCCTGATGTGAGACCCGCTCTTCTGATGTGAGACCTGCCTCTCTGCTCTGAGTCCTGCCCATATTCCAGGCCTGCAGCAGAAGTCAGGGTGGCTGCAGTCCCTGCTCATCTCTCCCCAAGCCTGGCTGGCTTGAGGTGGGGAGACATTGGGCTGGTGGCAGAGCAGGCACTTGTCATCCTGGGATGAGCTATGATGGAATCTCAGTCCTTGATGGTGATTTTCAAGATATGACCTATAGAACACTTCAAAACCCATGCAGAACTTGACCCATAATCCTTCCAAGAGTTAAAGCAGCAGCTGGGGCTGATATTTCTATCTTACATCAAATTATCCTGAGTAATTTATTTGGACATGATGCTAAACGACTGTGCTAAAAGCAAGGAGAGGAGGTGCTTTGGGAACACAGCCTTCTTGGCAGAGGAGGCTGGTGTGTGATCAGACAGGAATCGTACCAGGAAATCCGAAGCCGAGTTCACCATCTGTTTCTGCAGCCCCGGCGCCGTCTGACCCTGCACGGGGGCTGGCAGGAGCGAGGGGAGAGCCGGGCCGGGCTCAGCAGGGCTCAGCAGGGCCAGACTGCCACCTCCAGGCACTCGGAGCTCACAGAGCTCCCTGCTGATGGCACAGCCAAACCAAACCAGCCGGGAGCTGCCCGGGAAATGCTGCCCACAGGAGTTACTGGAAGCCTGGGGTGGTGCTGGTGTGAGTGGGAAAGAAAAGTGTTTTACCAGGGAGAGACCAGCTCCCAGTGTGCAAGATGGGATGAAATCCTCTTGGGGGACGTTTAAGCAGGTGTGAAAATCCTGAGGTCTCTTTTGGTACGGGAAGGGGTTTATTTGCTGGTGTATATGAACGAGGATGTCCATCACCTCTCCTTGGGTGGAACACCTTGCCTCTGGACCAGCCCCAGGATCCTCTTCCCAAGGGGTTTCCTGCTGAGCCATCAGGATCCTGGTGCAGCCCTGGCCCCAGCCTGGCCAGATGGGAGTGCAGGAGGTCTGAAACCATGGCTCTGTGTCCTGGACAAGTGTCTCCAGTGATGGACCTCTGCCAGGATGGCAATTCCCTGGCAATTTCTTTAACAATGACACAACTGAGCCTCATCTTCCTGAGGCTGTGAGCAGGGTGATGCCCTGGGCAATGCTGTAGTGGCCAGGCCCCTCCCCACACAAAGCCATGCACAGCAGCCTGGCTGAGTGCCCCTGCCCAGGGAAGGAGCCAGGCACCAGCATCATCCACCCTTCCAAAGGTTTGCTCTAAGGAATGTAAGAAAATCTTGCACGTTTTGCACAATGTGGACACTGGCTTTATTAATAACTGAGATACAGCAGTGACATGTGTTTGTGTGTCCTCAGTGCACAGCAACAGTTCCAGCATGCCCAGGCTGTCCCACTGTGCACAGTGGCAGCACTGGACCACGAGCAAGGGATGATGCAGCTGCTGCCCCGTCTGCATGATGTGATGGGGCTCTGAGCAGAGCCTGCACAGGTGTGTGCACTGCACAGGCACCTGGAGGGGTGGGATGAGGTGACCTTCAGGGATTCCATCTAACCATATTTATCACAGAATGGTTTGGGTTGGAAGGGACTTGAAAGCCCCTGTTCCCCACCACGTGCCATGGGCAGGGAGGGACACCTTCCGTAATTCCAGGCTGCTCCAAGCCCTGTCCAGCCTGGCCTTGGACCCTTCCAGGGATGGGGCAGCCACAGGAGAAGGGTCTGGAGAGAGTCAGGGTTATAGTGATGGGAGATGTAAATGCAGAAATGGGATAGGTGAAGGGGAATGCAGAGCACAGGACTTGTAAGCTCAGCCTCAGCACAGGGGCACTGAGCAGGAGCAGCCTGTCCAGCTGGGGCCTGTGCTGCTGTGAAAGGCCCCAGAGAGAGCAGTGGGAGGGAGCCTGTGAGGAAGGGAGCTCTGGATGGGCTGGCAGGATAACCTGGCAGTGTGCAGGGCTAGGACAGAGCCCTGGGCTGGCCTTTCCCCATGGCTGGGCTGGGGAGCAGAGCTGGGGGCAGTGAACAGTCACACTCCCTGTCCTTGAAGTGTGGCAAAGGCTGGGAGCACAAGAGCAGGCAGGGACAGCTTTAGAGCCAACCCCAGCCTGTGCTGTGGGGCCCTTTTGCTTTTATAGGGCATTTCCTGAAAATGGGGCTTTCTTTGTCCTGCAGCTCATCTGCTGGTAAATCCTTCTCTGAAGGGCAGCTGGAGCACAGCTAAACACCTTCAGGAAGAGTTTTGCAAGCAGACCTACAATATATTTCAGCTCAGATTTCAGGAGATGAGGGCTGAGGTTTTACTGGTTTGGTTTTTTGGTGTTAATTTTTGTTCTTTCTAAAAAAAATATATCTGCATCTCCAGAAGAAGTAAGGCTGAGTCTAGGGAAACCTGTAAGACACCCCTGAGGCTGAGAGCAGCCTGTGCACATGAGGAACCTTGTTCTTGCATCATGTCCTGCATGAGATGCTCCTACACAGCGAGGACTCGGTGGTTTTGGGGTGTCCTCTCCAGCCCACAGCACCCTCCCTGTGAGCCTACAAACATCCTCCAGGCTGTTCCCTGTGGGCCCATCCCGTGGATGCTCCTGCTTAGCAGGAAAGCATCCTTCACTTGTGGGAGGCTTTCTGGAGCAGGGGAGGTGGTGACTGGCTGAGATCTCAGTGCTGGTCCCCCTGAAGCAGCTGGGGTGTCCCCTGTCCTCACTGCAATAGTGACAGCTCTGTGCAGCCCAGTGACAGTAACAGGCAAGGAGATGGATCACGGAAAGAGGGATTTTTATTGTCCAGGGGGAAGCACACACTCTGAACATAAAAGGCAAACCCCGCCCCACCATCCCCACAGCCAGGAGCAGCGCAGGGACCCCACACTGCAGGATCTGACTCATGAACCACCTGCAAAGCGGCCATCTGGCAGCTCCCAGCCTCAGATCCTGCAGCCCACCTGGCTGGGGCTGCCCAGCAAACCCCAAGGACACAGGTGTGGCACTGCTCTGGCCTCTGCTCTCACAGGTGTCCATGACAGAGTCCCAAATGTTGGGAAGAGAGGACAGGGCCAGCACCAGCCCCCTGTGCTGCAGGGCTTGGCTGAGCTTCATCACACGCTGGCTGTGGGGAGGGAGTGTGCCAGGGCTGAGTGCAGGATGCAGGGTGCAATACAAATGAAACAACACATTGCATCTGTCCCCCTCACAAAAAGCTTCCATAGGAAGAAGTAAAATACCCACCATAGTCAGAGAATCCATCAGCACGCAAGTGCTCTGCATGGACAGCCAAGCCAGCCCCGGACAGGCTGGTTTAGCCAGGATTATTGCAGCTGAGAAATGGCTTTAACCCACCCCCCACCCCCCTGTGCCCCTGTGGCCTGGCAGGAGCAGCCCCCAGGCCCCATCCCACAGCACCTGCACTGGAGTGCTGCTGGGTTTGCTGTGCCGTGGGTTGAGCAGGCTGCTGTGGTCAGGCTGGACTCTGCAGGGACTGAGGCTCCTCCCCAGTGTCCCTCCCCTCCTGTCACCCCCCAGCCATGCTCCCAGCAGGTGTTTTTTGCAGTGAGATCAGCCCCACAACTGAGGCTTCTGTGCTTTGAGACCATTTTGTGTACCTAACATCCTACTTCAGTAAAACAGCTCCCAAACCCATAGAAAATTGTATTTACACCAAAAGGAAACTCCCAGCCCACAGCCTGCCCCACTCCCCAGTTCATGTGCACCTCTGCACCCAGCTCAGCTTCTTGGACCAGCTCCACACATCTCTGGAGGCCACTGCTCAGCACCAGGCAAGCTCACCCAGAGAGATGCTCCTGTGGAGGACAGACCACTCTCCCAGGGTCACCAGCAGGGAGATCTGTGCCCAGAGCCTCTGTCCCCAGCCACAGGATGCTGGATTGCAGCTGGAAACACGGCCAGGACCCCTCCTGTGCAGGTGATGAGCAGCCCTGGGCACTGGCAGCCAGGTGATGGCACAGCTCCTGGGCCTCTCTAGGACAGTGTAAGAACAAAGCAGAGCTGTTTCTCTGTCCCTCTATCGTGTGACATGGGAGCACACTCTCCCTTTCCTCTCTGTTCTGGGGGAGGCCAGGACGATTCTGCTGGCAGAGAAACCTGAGCTTGTGGCCCTAGAAAATATGCCTGGGCTGCCTGGAGGGCTGTGCTGGATCCATGGAGTAGTGCTGGTGGCTTGAAGAGGGGGAGAGTGTCCTGCAGCACGCCAGGGCTTCTTGAGTCTCCAGGCAGAAGGCCCTGGACAACTCTCCTCCCAGCTGGGCAGGATGGTCTGAGGGCAGAGCCAGGTGCTCCTGGCACTGCCACCTTGTTTTCTGTCCCCTGGAGGTGGGCCATGGAGTCACCTTCAGGCAGGTGCAGCTCGGGAGGCCCAGGCTGGAGCGTGCTGGGAGGTGCAGGGAGCAGGGCAGGCCCTGCTGTGTGCAGGGTGCAGATCCTGCTCCGTTCTGAGATCCCAGGAGCTCCCCAGCTGCCTGATCCACAGGAGCTGTGTGCCACGGCAAGCCCAGCCCACTGCTCCTGCTTATTGCTGATGTGGCTGATGCCCCTGCACCTGCAGGAGCAGCTGGACCATCCCACTGGGTGAAGGGGTTGTCTCCTGTCCTGCACAGCTGTGGGCAGACCCCCAGTCCCACAGGGAAATGGCAGAATCATGATGTGTCTGCCTGGAAGGCTGCTCCCCCCTTCCCCTGGGGGAAGGAAGCAGCAGGACCCCCAAGGTATCTGGAACACCACGTTTCCGCCAATGCTGAAATCACAGAGATGCTGGCAGGGCTCCAGCTGCTGGCGCCCCTGTTCCTGCTCACCACCCTGCAGCCCCTTTGCCAGGGTGAGAGTTAAGGAATGCCTGATGCAGCTCTGCAGAGCTTTTGGTCAGAGATGCCTCCTGGGGCCGTTTGTGTTCAGCAGCTGGGATCTCATGGCCTGGATGCTGCTCAAGATCTTCTTCTGGTGGCCCATCATGGTGATGCCCAGACTCCGAACATCCCTGAGAACAAAGACACTGTCAAAGACACCTGAGCCAGGCCCCAGGGAGACAACTGCACCATGGAGCAGCCTGTGCCTGGCTCTGCTCCACCTGCACATCAGCACAAGGCTGGTCCTGCCCAGGGTCCAGGGACATTCTCCCAGGGCCAGACAGACTGCCATTCTCTTGGACATGTCCTCCTGTGACAGCCCTGTGGGAGCAGGAGCAGCATCACTCCTGACAGGCTCACAGGTGACAAGATCGATGCTGTGAAATTGGATTCAGTTTTAGTGAGATGCCCTCAGATAACCCACTCAGAAGGATGGATGATGAGCCTTCCCCATTCAAAAGATTCTCTGATGTGCATGACAAACAAGGATCACTATCAGCTCAATCCCAGAGCAAAGGCCCCGTGTACAGCCCTGACCAATGCACATGACAACTCTCTGTATCTCTCTGCCTTCTCTTTCACTGCTACAGGAACCCCTGTCCAGCAGCTCCCTGCCTTTGGACAGGGAACAAGGCTCCTTAGAGGCTGAACAGGCTGTCACTCCTGCTAACAGCAAGGGATGAGAGATGTAAGCAGATATAAGGGAGGAGCTGACATAGTTGCCTTCTCTTCTGGTACTGCTTGGATGCTCCACTTGGAAACTCCCTAGACAGGTGGGAAATCAAGCTCCTTACAGCAGGAGAGTGATGAGACAGATCTTCTCCAGCTCTATCTACTTAACCCACCCTTGGTAACGTGTGAATGAGCTTCCAGTGATGTCTCCCTCCTGGCTGCACTGAGCAGGGAGCCAGTCCTGTGCACAGGGATCTGACAAAGCTCCAAGGTAATGCCCAGCCAAGGTTGTTTCCCAGTGATCCTGGAGAAGCTGTGCAGAATAGCACAGCCACACTCTAGTCCAGAGGTGCCTTTTGCAGGGAAACAAAGAGAAGAAGCACAAGAAGACAGCAACCCCCTGCCTGACCCTGCTGTGACCAGGAGGCTGGGTCAGCAACCCAACCTGAATCGCCCTATGGTGACATTGGAGAGCCACCACAGAGCACTGGAGGTGACCTGGAGCTCACAGCCCCTCAGTACAACTCACACACCTTCCCTCAAAGCTCAGTGCAGCCTTGGGCATTGGCCCAGGTGTCACCAGTGTGCCTGGAGATACCTCTCCAGCCCCAGGGACCAACCAGGCCGAGCAGCAGAGGCAGGAGGTCACTGTTTGGGGCTGGGGGGGTGCTGTGGGCCTGGGCACACCCAGACAGTGCTGTTTGCTCCCTGCTACTCACTCAAGGTTCATGTGCATCACCATGCCCAGGGAGGAGTAGCCAGCCATGGCGAAGTTGTCGCGGTAGTGCCCCAGGCGGATGGAGTCCAGCCAGTCCTCCACAGTCAGGCAGCTGCTGAGGTCCAGGAGACCCCTGTCCAGGCGTGTCTGGGTGAACCTGGGAGAGAACAGAAGGGGTTACACGAGAAACGTTGGTCCAAGGTGAGCAGGCTGTAGGGCCACCTGAATGCAGCTATGTGATCAGGAAAACATTAGGGATGGAAAAGCCCTCTAACATCATCAGCTCTAACTGTTGACTCAGCACTGCAAGGCTGCCACTAAACCATGTCCCCAAGTGCCACATCCACACCTCCAGGGGCGATGACTTCACCACTGCCCAGGGCAGCCTGTGCCAGGACCTGACCACCCTTTGTGTGAAAAAACTTTCCCTAATATCAAATCTAAACCTCCTGTGGCACAACTTGAGGCCATTTTCTCTTTTCCTGTCCCTCATTCCCTGGGACCAGAGGCCAACTGCTGCCTGGCTGCCCCCTCCTGTTGGGGAGTTGTGGAGAGCCAGAAGGTCCCCCTGAGCCTCCTTTTCCCCAGGCTGAGCCCCTCCCAGCTCCCTCAGTCTGGAGCCAGGGTGCTCCAGACCCTTCCCCAGCTCTGAACACACTCTACCCCTCCATTTTTGTCTTGTCATGAAGAGCCCAGAACTGACCCCAGGATTCAAGGTGGGGCCTCACCAGTGCCCAGCACAGGGGGGCAATCACTGCCCTGGTCCTGCTGGCCACATTACTCCAGATGCCATTGTTCTCCTGCCCATGTGGGCACACAGCTGTGACACAGCTGATCTGCAGATCGTGCAGAGCAGGACAGAGAGAGCCCTAGCAGGCAGGTAAAGGCAGGGATGCTGCTGCATGGGCACTGCTGCACTTCCTTGGCCTTGGCATGGGGATGCCGTGGTGGGAGCAAGGGGATGAAGTGCAGGAAGTTCCTCCCTACTCACCACAGCCTCTGTCCACGGGCCCTGTGCACGTCCATGCTCCCAAGGGCAGCCACTGGTGCTGCAGCCAGTCAGAACTGCAGCCCACATGCTCTGAGCAGGATCAGGTCATTGGGCCTGGGAGCCCTCACCTGTTGATGGTGCCTGTGCACTTGAGGCTGTCGGGGTTGCGGATCAGCTTGTCCAGGATGCCCACAATGTGGGAGAAGCGAGGCCGCTCGCTGCGCTCCTTCTGCCAGCAGTCCAGCATCAGCTGGTGCAGGGGGCTGGGGCAGCCCATGGGCGCAGGCAGGCGGTAGCCTTCCTCCACTGAGGTGATGACCTGCAAGGAAGCCACAGCTGCGGTGGGGCTGCACCCCATCCCACTCCAGCCCCACCGATGGGAAGGTGCATGGAAGCTGCTGGGGCCGTGGGATGGGAAGCAGAGGGATGTGCACAAGCTCCATGCTGAACAAGTGAATGGCTGCCTGCAGGCTCTGTGCAGAGCTGGCAGCGGGCTGGACTGTAGCAGACCCCATAGAATTGTCTAAGACCCTGTGGAGGGCTGAGACTTAACAGTAGGAATTGCTGAGTCATGATGAGATAGCACAATAAGCTCCTGTCTTCTGCCTCTCAGACCCCAGCTTATCTCTGTAACCCCACAGGTCACTTTCCCCTAACCCTTACTATTGGGCAAGTTTGGATCCCCCTTTACCCTATTAAAAGGGGCTGTTTTAGCCTGTTCAGGAGAAGAAGAGCTGTCACTGGAACCCTTCACAGACCCCTCAATAAACCATCACTGTGGAACCACCAGTACCCTCCTCCTCCTCTCTCTCGTCTGCTTCTCCCCATAGCCCTCTGGCACCTTAGCAAGCAAGCCAAGAGCTGAAATCATAAGAGAGCTGATAATCACTAAAGAGCTGAAATTCACTGAGCTTGCTTAAGGTAGCAGTGGCTACGAGCAGCCTGGGCATTCGGGCACTCTGTATCCAAGAGGGACTGAGCTATAGGGATAGGCCTGCCTTGCTTGGGGGCAAAGGCTGCTCTGCGGGCAGGGGAGACCTTTACTGGACATCACACATGCACAGGAAATCAGTGCAATGACAACGGAGTTGTTTAGTGGTCCAGTGGCCTAAAATATTGCAGCTTCCCTCCAGCAGACAAGCCATGAGGGCTGCACTCACACTCAGTTTTTCTACAGCTGGGATGTGGCACTGGTCAGCAAGGCTAGAGGAAACGCTGCTTGAAGAAATTTTGTGGAGGGGGTAGTGTAAGCCACTGCATTCATGCCCTACTGTCACCAAAGCCACCACAAAATAAAAAAAAAAAAAATAGGAAGAGAGGGGGCTCCCAGCACAGGGGGACATTTGTAGTACTCATAGGTAAAAAAAGGAGTCCTGTGGTTCTGCAGAGCCAAAATACTAATTTTACTGCCTCCTCTTGAAAATTTTGCCCTCAGGTTGTGGTCAGGATTATAACCTACATTTTCCTTCAGATTTTATGCTACCCTTGGGGTGAGAGTGGTTCCACACAACTCAGACAAGCCCAAAGCCTACAGCTGGGTGGTGCTAGGCTGAGGCTCTCAGCAGCCTCATTCGGACAGTGGAAGGGATGGATGCCCAGCAGTGGAACTGGCAGGCTGGTCCAGTGGGGCTGCCATGATCCTAGGAAGCCCTAACCCCTCCCAGGGACAGGGAAATGTGGCACAACATGAGCTGGCTCTCTCCAGCCAGCAGAAAGGCAGGATTGCAGACAGCCACAGAGCACACAGCCAGTGTGGCAGTGATCTCCCTGCCTGCATCTGTACTGGGAACTTGAGACAATGTCCCCAGGAACAGGGCAGGATTGGGAAGGGCCAGCAGGCAGGTCCATATATGAGCTCGGGTCACTCCTGGGTGCCGCGGGACTGCAAAGGCAAAGGCTGTGCGGCGCAGGGATGGAGCGCTGCCGGCACAGAGGGGACATGCACCCTGTGCACAGCCCTGGGGGATGTTTAGAGAGGCAGGAGCTGATCCTTGGGCCCTGCTGCCAGCCCCAGGCTGGCCGGGAGGGCAGGAGGGGCAGCTGGCAGCACTCACGTCGCGGTTGGTCATGTTCCAGTAGGGCCGCTCGCCGTAGGCCAGCACCTCCCACATGACGATCCCGTAGCTCCACACGTCGCTGGCCGAGGAGAACTTGCGGTACGCGATGGCCTCGGGAGCCGTCCAGCGGATCGGGATCTTCCCCCCCTGGAAAAGGAGCGGGAGTGGGGGCTCAGAGCGGGCAGGGCTCAGCATCCCGAGCTCTGCAGCTGGGACAGCTCTCGGACAAGCTGGGGTGGCATCTTCTAAAAAGGACTGAGGAGGGACTCTGCCCAAAAGAAGGCCAGAGGGGTATGCGAAGGACAACTTCAAGGTGTTTCCAGCAGAGCAAGGAGAACACTGTGCTCTTTTACAAGGTCTTCATGCACAATTTGGTTCCCCGGTGCTCAAGAGACAAGGAATTCAAAGTGATGAAGAGGAGCCCTGGGCTACCAGAGCACACAAGCACAGAGCTGACTCTGTGTGCAAGCAGAGAGCCTGACCTGGGCAGACAGGGAGAGTGATGGGATGTGCTCCCTGTCCTTCCCCGCTTTGACAGGCAAGGACTGAAAAGGCAGATGCATTCAATTAAAGGACCATGCAGACAAAAATCAGCAATATATGGACTAAGAATGCTTTTAAGTTGGAAATGTGGTTGCCAGCCATCTGAAGAGGAAAGTTGCAGCGTAGGGGACATTGAGTGGGCTTCCCAGAGCCCTGGGACAGGAATGGTGTGCCACCACCATTGAGGGACACCTGTGTAGGGAGAGCTGCCTCTACCCAGCTGAGTCCTGCCTGCTCTGGCACATGCCTTGATAAGGACTGAAGGTGAACAATGTGTCTTTTGGGAGAGTTCCTTGGGTGAAGCAATCTCCTGAGCATGTTGAAGACAACACAGGAGGAATACAAGTTTCTGAACACAAAAGAAACCGCATTTGTGGGGTACCCTGACTGAGACCTCACCAGAGATCTGACTCTGGCACTGCATCCTTGTGGTTCAGCTCTGCCCACACTATGCACTATCCAATCTTCCTCCAGAGCAACCAGCTCTGGTGGGTTTCACTGCACCAAGGTACCTCAAAGCACCAGAAACCAAGCAGCAGGAACCTTGCCCAAAGTGAAATTATCTGGGATGACATGCTGTTTCTTGAGGTACTAGAAGGAACAGATGAATGCATAGACACACACACAGAGGGAGCCCCTCTGGCTCAGCTTCTCCACTTTGCTGAAGCCAAGCAAAGACCATGAAAGGCCACATTCTTTAGGCTGGGCCATGGTGCACTCATCCCTCAGAGCTACAGCTGCTCTGGGTCATGCTCAGCATCAGCTACCCCAAAGGAGCCTGAAGCTCTTTCTGCTTCTGTAGTCTTGGTCCTTCTGAGAAATGATGCTGGTCCCTCTGCTACAGCTCCAAACTGGCCTCCATCAGGAACAGTCTGTCCACCAGGTGTGTTCCAGGGGAGCACACTAATTCTTTTCATGGCTAGAGAAGAGTAAACAGAGCTCGATTTATTTAACATATTTTATGTATTTCATGAAAATGTATTTCATTTTGCTCCTAATGACCTCCCACAGAGGAGGACATCAAGAAACAGAGCTGCCAGGTTGGCCAGAAAAATTTCAACAGGGCTTCACAGACAAAAGTGTCCTGCATGAAATAAAACCACAGGTTGCAAAATCAATTCCCACCTTTCCCACATCCATGAATGAGGTACAGTCACATGGAAAAACCAGTGTGTGGCCACAATGTTGAAGGGTGGAACAGAACACCCCACTATGGATCAAGGGCTCTAGGACAACTGTGGAGTGGATGGAGCTACAGAGCCTAGGGAAGGACTCCAGTGGGCACACAGAGGCCACACACACCCATGGGAGCAGTTGGCTGGGGATGTTTGATAACTCCCTGTCCTGCTGCTCTTTGTTCTCTGCACGCTCAGTTCTGGGATGTCCCTGTGCCAAGGACAATGCTTTAAGGCTCAGGAGCTCTTTGGGTTTGAACTGTTGGCTCGGATATCAGCAGGAAGTGACACTGCCATTCCTGCCCTACCTATTCTCACTTGAGAGTCTCTGACTTTTCCATGTGTCTGGGGCAGCAGCCAGCAGCAGGGACCAGCTCTGTGAGCCACCCACCGTGGTGGTGTAGGCAGCGTCGGGGTCGTCCTCCAGGATGCGGGAGAGGCCGAAGTCAGACACCTTGCACACCAGGTTGCTGTTGACCAGGATGTTGCGGGCAGCCAGGTCCCGGTGCACGTAGCCCAGGTCAGACAGGTACCTCATGCCTGCCCCAATGCCCCGCAGCATGCCCACCAGCTGGATGATGGTGAATTGCCCGTCGTGTTTCTGGCAAGGAAACAACCCAGAGTTCGCTTGTGGTGCTCACCACCATCCTGTTGGTGCTCCTGTCATTAAACCAGCCCCCAGTGCCTCTCATCTTTGGCTTTGCACATCCTCTGACCCCACTGCCTCCTGCATGTGCCCCTGCCCACTTCCTGCCCTCGCAGTGCCTGTGACACGTGCTCAGCTTTTGCAGTGTCACTTCAGGGAGCCAGACACAATGCCTGGAGCCTGTGTCTGCTGGAGAGGTGAGAGCCCAGCACCCACAGCTCTCTCTAAAACAGGGGTTTCACTGGCTGTGAGGCTGAGGAGCAGGAACCAGCCCCAGGGGATGTGCCGTGAATGTAAATACAAACTCACTCCTTACCCTGAGGAAGGTGTCTAGCGAGCCGTTCTCCATGTATTCAGTAACAATCATTACCAATTTGCCTGCACAAGACAAGGGAGGTCAAGTTAGCAGAGAAGTCACCTTCCTCCAGGAAGCCCAGTGCCAGGTTTTCACTTGGAGAGACATGAATTCACATCTGTGGGTCTTCTGCAGCCCCTCAGACTGGTGTCACCCCTGCAGTGGGCAGGACTGGCTCAATGATGGGGATGTGGCAACAACCCAGACAGGTATCCCTCCCTCCAGGTGCTATTCACATGGCTAGGTCAGTTTCGTTACCCTGCTGAAATTTGCATGCCGTTAGTGTGAGGCTTTGCATCAGAATGTGCCTTTTTGGAGGAAGACTTCAAATTATGATTCAGTACAGGCAGCCTTTAAAATAAATGCCTTTGAGTAGGACATCTCCCAAACCAACAATGATCTGGAGCACGCTGCAGAGCACTGCCATGGGGAACTTTGTTCTGGAAGAGAAGGCAAGGGGATGGCTGTCCCAGGTAAATGCACAAATCTGAAAAGCCACTGGGGCAGTGAAGGCTGGAGTGCACCCACAGTGAGCCCTGACCCACATCTCCCAGGCTGCCCACAGGGAGATGCATCCCAGCTCTGCTCTGCCATACACTCCCTCCTCTGCCAGCCACGTACTCCTGGTGACCACCCCCTCCAGGTGGATGACGTTGGGGTGGTCAAACTGTGCCATGATGCTGGCCTCGCTCAGGAAGTCCCGTCTCTGCTTCTCTGTGTAGCCAGCCTTCAGTGCTTTGATGGCCACGGGAATCTCCCTCTTCCCTGGCAGCTTCAGGCGGCCGTAGCACACCTCTCCAGACTCCCCTGCAAGGCAAGGGAAAGCGGGGGCATGGAGAGCTCCTCAGCTTCTTGTGCTCACCCACCAACACCATGAATCATCCAGCCTGTCAGCATACTCACAGCATGCCTCAGTCCCTCTGGGTTTCAGCCTGGATTTCCATCCCCTGCAACCCCTGCAGGATTCAATCCTCTGAAAGGATTTATCAGCTCTTGTTTCTAGTTCAGGAAGGGTGGGAACATCTGAAACCACCTCTCTCTGGTGCCTGTCACTGAAGGCAATGGGCCAAGGGCAGTGATTACAGTGGCATCATTCCTCTTGGTTCAGCCCTCAGGGTGCTGCTGGTGAAGTTCCAGCTCCAGCTCTGCACTGTGTTTCCACAAAGTCCCTGTTCCTATGCAAAATTCCCTTTTGTTCTGAAAATGTGCCATTTTGCTTGCAATTTCATTTGCATCTTGTCACCCAGGTTTTTTCATGGGTGCATGCTGGGACACCCGTGGGGACAGGCTGAGCCATCTGCTGTGTCAGCCTGAGCCACCAGTCCCACACCTGCTGACGAGCAAGCCCCTGCACAGGCTGCTCCAAAGGGTTTATTTCACTCCCCCAAAGCCCCACTCTGTCCAAGGTTTTGATCTCACAAGGCTCAGGAGCAAATGAAGCCCTGCTGAGCACGGCTCCCAGCGGGCCAGGAGCACAGCTCAGCCTCAGAGCATGGATTTCCCTGAGCAGACACCAAGCAAAGGGGCAGCTGGGCACCAGCACTCACCAGACCCGATGACCTTCTCAATCTTGATCCGGGAGGCCTCTATTTCCCGGGTGAACTCATGCACAGCTTGGCAGGGGTCCTCGTATGTGTGGGGGTCCACATAGAACTTGGACTCGGGGAACTTCACTGCCAGGTTGCAAAGTGGAGAGAGGAGATCAGCACTCTCAGGCAGCCCTGCTGGGAGGAGGGACACCAGCCACAGGGCAGAGGGTGGGCAGGGGCAGGACAGGCTGAGGAGCCATGGAGATGCAGCACAAGGAACCCTAAGTCACACTTTGGTGCAGCAGGGTCCCCAGAGCAGTTCAGGACCTGGCTGCCCAGGTGTTCTCCACATGATTGTCCCACTCCCCCACTCCTGCCCCTGGCCTGCTGCTCTCTGGGATGATCCTGCTGCACTCTCAGTGCACAGTGTTCAACATTTCAACCCCACTACCAGGATGCCCCTGGGATCTGATCGCCCACTCAAGTCTCCTAAGACACGTTCCCAGAAGAAGGCAAGATACAAAACCCTTCCTCCTGGAAACCACAGCACTGTCAGGGGGTAACAGTTCATCTCTGTCCATCCATGGGGCTGGAGCTCTTCCCAGAGAGTGTCCTACCTTGCCCATTCTGATAATGCATCTTCTCCTCATCAGAGTCCTGGAAAGCCTTGCTGTAGCCACAGTGCCTGCCACAGGAGGACAAGGGTCAGAAGAGAAGCCCCCATCCCTCACCCCCACAAGCATTCCAAAAGCAGGGTGGAAGGCAGTGCATGCTGGGGCTGGGGGCAGGCAGAGAAAACACTTGGCCATCCACCAGCTGCATCCCTGCATCTCACTGCACTGACACTTGGGTACTCTCCAGGTGCTCTCCCAGGCTTGGCAGTGCTAAAAGCATGTGTGCTCCACGTGCCTGGCTCAGCATGCTCATACAAAGCACACAGGCTCCCTCGGATCTGTCTGCTGTAGAAAAGATCTCTCCACCCCTGACCTACCCACCAGTCCATCCAGTCAGTTCTTGTACTGGTAGTGGTTCTGGTACTGGTATTGCTATTGCTCGTGCTACTGACATTCCATATATCATATATTATAATGTACACACTGATTTATTACTATTCAGCCTGCTAGCATGAGGGGAAGATCTGAAGACTGGCTCTGCCTCAGGGAAAGTGGTGACCCTTAAAAGAAGTCTCTTGGCTGCTTATTAACCCTGGACCTATAGATGCTCTGGACAAACTGAAAGGAGAAAAGTTGTGCCCAAGTTCTCCCCTCCCTCCTGTCCCTGCTGGAGACCTCCAGGAAACCTCACTAGCCTTGACAAAACTCTTACCTCTTCTTGCAGATCAGAACCAGCAGCAAGGTGACAAGGCCAGTGATGAGTGACAGGCAGATCCAGACAATCGTCATCGTGTCATACCGGAGAGACACTGGAAAAAGCAGGGTAGGAAGGGGCTGAGCTGGAATTCACTGCTGAGCTCAGGCACGTACCCACCCCATGGTTGTCAAAGACAAAGCCTTGGGCTGACAATGCGGTAATGGTCTTCAAAGATGAAGCACTGTCCCACCTAGTCGCAGTTTTGAGCCTCTCCCAGCGTACAGGGACTGTTTACATGTGGGGAAATCAAGGAGAGATCTGAGAAAGCCATGGTGACACAGCAAACCAGTACAGAGAGGAGACTGGAGCCTCAGGACCTCTCCAGGTCTTCCCTGCCCTAACTGCTGCATCCTTCCTCCCTTTTCTTTCTAATGTATAAGCATAGAATCACAGAATCATTAAGGTTGGAAAAGACCTCTAAGGTCATTGAGTGCAACCATTAACCCAGCATGGCCAAGGCCATCACTTAAACATGTCCCCTGGTGCCATATCAACAGATTGATCGAGCACTTCCAGGCATGGTGACTCTACCACTGCCCTGGGCAGCCTGTTCCAGTATTTTCTTTCAGTGAAGAAATATTTCCTATTATCCAACCTGAATCCTGTTTCAACTTGAGTCTGTTTCCTCTTGTTCCAAACATATCAGGAATGCAACCTGTAGCAATCCCTTCAGGCTGAAACACTGGGGGGATGTGCCTTCAGGTCCCCTCCCTGTGTGGCAGAGGAACAGTGGCCATGGGGAAGTATAGGGGCCTGAGTAAATATATGTATTGCAGTAAAAGATCTCTGTATTGTATAAGTGACCCTGCCCCGATACTAGTTATTGTAAATGGGCTGCAGCTGTGATGTCCTTAATTGGGCAGCAGCTGTAGCCTGTGGAGGTAGATGGGATAAAAGGGGGTGGGGCAGCAAGGGAGAGCTGGAGAGGAGCTCTGACTGAAAAGCAACAACAACACTGCTGTGAAGAGCTGTGTGTGAGAAAACCAGCCAGAGAAGGTATGGGACTCTAGAAATATGAATACAACCAGCGGTGACCCCAACGTGATAGAAGATAGGACAGCCAAGAGCTGTGGCAGCCTGAGAGCTGGGACTCTAGAAATATGAATACAACAGAGAAAAGCATCACCAGGCCCCGGGCCCCCTGCCCCACACTTCCCACACCCCATACCTGCACACACTCACCTGGCTTCCCCGTTTCCACCTCCACAGTCTGACTGAACCTCCCGCAGCCGGCAGAGGTGCGAGCCCGCACCTGGAAAATGTAGCGGGTTGCAGGCTTGAGCCCAGAGATGGTGGCAGTGGTGCTCTTGGATTTCAGAGTTGAGTAGCTCTGCATTTCCTTGTCCTGGGGAAAATCAACAACAAAACCTTCTCTGCATTAGCACAGCAACCACACGGTCTTCCAAAGAAGCCCCTTGTGCAAGGCTGGCTGGTAGCAGGGGCTCTCTGAGAAACAAGCTCAGTGTTACCTTCTCATAGTACTTGATCTCATACTCCAGGATGATGCCGTTGGGCTGGTCTGGCTCTTGCCACAGCAAGGTGACACTGTTCTGGCCTGTGCTCTCCTGATGCACCACCACCACCTGTGATGGGGCTGGGGACCAGACAGGGGGTTAGGTGCCTGCTGAGGGGGGCAGCAGGAGACAGCAACAGAGAAGGGTGGAACCAGAGCCCCAGGCAGGACCCCAGGCTTAAACCAGGTTTCTGTTTAATTAAAGCCATGTGGAGATGAGTGCTGTGATAGGGATTGCAAACAGGCTTTTCCTTGTTTTGGCTGCATCAGTCTCTTTCCCATGGAGTAAGGCAGCTCTGAGAAGATGAGGGGAGGGAATTGTCCCAGCACGGGCAGGAGGGGACATGGGTGACTTGTTGTGATCTGGAGCCAGAAAGGAGAAGGACCAGTGTGGTTGCAGGTCATGGAGAGTGTGCAGGCTGGTGGGCCTACACAAAAAGGGTCCGTTACAGTTTCTTGGATGGACAGACCCTAAGTCGGAAAAATCTCCTCTGTTCAAGGCAACTGAGCAAAGCCTCTCCCAGAATGCTTTGCTGTGTATGCAAATGTGCCCCAGTTCTACCTCTCTGGTTGGCCCGTTGGCCTCTCCACCCCTTTTTCCTTATATGTATATGCCCTAGAATGTTCTCCCTTCCCTGCTTACCCATTGGCCCCATATGGCCGCAGTGTCCTGCCCCCTTTACCCTATTGGCTGCCACCCCTTGTCCTGCCTCCGTACTGCCCTGAGCCCTCAGCCCATTGGCCCTGATGCTCTGCTCTGCCCCCTCTGTCCCCCATAGTTAAACCTGGACCCTCCACTGTTCTTTTATCTTTGTCCCTGGAACCTTTCATGCATGGCTGGAATAAATCTCCTCCTCAGAGCTCTATACAAAGACCCTTTCCACTTCTTTGTCATTGGTGATTCTACAAGAGCTACCTGAAGTGTGTGCTGGAGTGACTGTGTGCGTGTGTGTGCTGCAGTGACTGTGACTGTGCCTGTGCTGGAATGATTGTGCGTGTGTGCTGGAGTGACTGTGTGCGTGTGTGCTGGAGGGACTGTGTGTGCGTGTGCCTGTGACTGTGTGTGTGTGCTGCAGTGACTGTGTATGTGCTGCAATGGTTGTGTGTGTGTGACTGTGCCTGTGATGGTGTGTGTGTGTGTGCGCGTGTGCGCTGGCGTGACTCTGTGTGTGTGTGCTGGAGTGATTGTGTGTGTGTGCATGCTGCAGTGATGGTGTTTGTATGCTGGAGTGATTATGTGTGCCGCAGTGACTGTGTGTGTGCTGCTGTGATTGTGTGTGTGTGTGTGTGCTGGAGTGACTCTGTGTGTGTGTGCCTGTGCCACCGAGCGAGCAGCTCCATTACTGGAGACCTTTCTGGAAGGTCGGGCACTGCTGCATCTCACACCACTGCTAACGGGCCAGCGGCTCACAACAGGAGATCCCTACTGCACAGTCCCCTCTTGTTCTATCTGTGGTAAAGGGAGAAGGGCAGAGGAAGAGGGAAAGGGAAAATGGTAAGTGTGGTCAGGGTCTGAGCAGCAGTCTAAAAGTGCCTAGGGGTGCTCTACTGCCCTGGGATATTTGTCATCTTCCCAGTCCTGAGCTGGGAGCCTGTGACTCTGTTCTTGTACCTGTAGGCATGCCTGAACTGTAGCTGTCACAGCTGAAGGAACCAACTCACCAGACTCTTTTCCTACTGGGAAAATATCCACTGGGAGTTCCCCGGAGTGTGGTGGGTGCTGTGATGGCCGGGTGCAGCCATAGGGTCTGACCCATGGGAAGGTTTCGGGCCCCACTTGTGAGCTTCATTGTCAGGTGAAAAATGGGATGTGGCAGCTCTGGGGAAGACAGAGCTGCAGTGGCCATGGCTGCAGTGCAGGGGTGTCACCAGAGCAGCACAGAGACCAAAAGAGGCCACAGGGACTTCAGCAGCAATTTTAGCTCATTGGGGCTGGCTCCTCTGAGAAGCAGAAAATGCTGCTGGTACAGAGCACCCTGTACCAGATGGAGAGATGGGACAGGGTGGGATGGTGGGAATCAGTTAAACTGCTTGAGCAAGGGCAGTGCCTTTCCTCCAAACAGCCCAGGGAATCTGTGCTGCACTGCCTCAGCCTTTGGGGCTGGGGGCAAGGGTAACAGCAGCCAGGAGGTTCCCTCATGCAGCGTTGGGGTCCCTCAGGCCCCTGGAGGGCAGGGGGCTCTGTCACATGCAGCAGCTGGAGCACAGAAGCTGAACTACTGAATTCCCAACCCCGCTGCTTTCACAGCACCTGCTCAGAATCCATTTTGCAGCTGAATGGTCAAAATAGGAATACTCAGCACTTCCTGAGAGCATATCCGTCTGAGACATCAGGCTGAGGCAGCTCATCAGCACTTGGAGGGATTGTGAGGGATCAAGCCAGCAGGACTGAGCCATTTCCACATGCTGCAGAAGTGCTACAGGCTGGCATTAGTGACAAAGGGACCTGTTCTCATGCCAGCCATGAACTAACCAGCAAGGCTCCCAAGTTTCTCCCACTGGTACCCCTGCCACGAGACCAGAAGGGGCTCAGCATCACGGCAAGTTCTTGTGTGCTCATTTCAAACTGGGAGGGCTGACAAGGAGGGTCAGTCCCTGCCCTGATCTTTCTGCTGACAGTGTGCTCCATGGAAAAATGCCACAGAACAAAGTCCTGACCTACCTGGGCTAGAGCACTGCTCAGAGGAATTTCCTGAGGAAAGATCATTTTGCAGTGAGGGATTTGCAAAGGTGAGACATGCATGGCATTGGTGTAAGATAAGAGCAGAGTATGAACTGCTGCCTGGCCCTTTGGGAAGGGACAAAAGGCTGGAGGATCAGCCTGAAACAGTCATACTCCCCTTAGTGTTCCTGTCAATAAACAAGTGTTCTCTGTGTCCCCTGTCTCTTGCAGAAATGGAGCCATTTGTCTGCAAGCTGAAGTGAAGGGAACGGAGAAGGGAAAAGGACCCCATGAAGCAGAAGCAGAGCAGGGTAAGAGTTACCTTGGGCAGCAATTTATCCCCAGCCCATTCCAGTTCCCTGAACCCACCTCCAGCAGCATAGAGGACATGGGTCCCATTTCTTGGCTGTCCCAAGCCCATCACCAAACCAGCCCTTCACTGCCGGAGCAAGTTCTGGCTCCTGCAGTCTCAGCTGTCCCAAGCCCATCACCAAACCAGCCCTTCACTGCCGGAGCAGGTTCTGGCTCCTGCAGACACTGCCTGGAGCAATGCTGGAGGAACATCAGCATCACCCATGCAGGCCGGGTCTGGGGGTGGGTCTGCTTCTCCTACCTGCCTGGTTTGTCGTGATGTTGGCCACCGCGGCTCTCCTGGACTCCAGGCTGAGGTCGGAGACGCCGTTGACGGCCTCCACCCAGAAGGAGTAGTTGGTGTGTGCCAGCAGGTTGGTGACGGTGAGCGCTCCCTGCACCAGGCGCATCTGCTGCGGCACGAAGCGGATGCCGCTGCCGCAGGCCTCGCACGGCCCCGCGGCGCCCGCGCAGCGCCGGCACCGCACGTTGTACACGACGTCCGCGCGGCCGCCCTTGTCCAGCGGCGGGCCCCACTCCAGCATCACCGAGGTGCCGTTCACACTGGAGATCAGGTTCACCGGAGCAGAGGGCGGCCCTGCAAGACAGGCGGGGATTCAGGCAGGGCGAGGGCTGCTGGAGCATTGGAAATGGTGGCACCAATGGATGTTGGAACCCAGGACATTCCTCTGGCTGTCCTGGAGGGCTCCAGACCCTGGCAGGGGCTCAGAGACCTTGGCACAGAGTCAAAGACACCTGTGCCTTGGATTTTAGCGCATGAAAAAAACTCCCAACTTTGTATGAAGATGTACAAGCCACAAGAGTTTGAACAGAATGATAGTGAATTTACCACAGGGTGGAAAAGTAGACTTGTGGGGTTTTTAGAAAGGGGGTTCAAGAGGCAAGATGGAGGAATCTGGGTGTGTTCTGTCTTTTTCCTTCTTCTTCCTAGCCTCCATTTTCTGCTGTGATGGTGACAATTTTGGATTGGTTTAGACCAGAGACAGACTGTCTAACATAGGTGATAGGTATTGGGAAATTATTGTAAATAAAGTACATGTAGTTTTTAGTATAAAAAGATGACACCGGCCTGAGGGCAGTCAGTGTGCCTCAACTCGACCTGCCAGACAGTCTTCAGCAGGTCAGAAAAAGAATGTTATAGATAAGGAAAAATAAACAACCTTGAGAACGAAAGCCAAGGAATCCCGTCTTCTTCTTTGGTCTCAGGGCTGGGAAAAAGAGACTTTCTGACACCTTGGGGTCATCTTGACACCAGAGACCCCGGCAAATGGAGATGTGCCTTGGGCAGCAGGACCTGAGCTCACAAACACTGCTGCAAGGGACACAGAACTGCCCAGAGCAGCAAATGTGCTGGACATGAGACAGCAAAGACACAGGCAGGGCACAGGGTGAAATGCCCTGGAGGTAAAACAGTCAGGATCAGGATGCCAAGTGCCAGACAGCAAGAGCTGCTGTTAGCTCTGGGGGAAGCAGGAAGCAATGGTGAGGCATGAAGTTTTTTGGGGAGAGCCACAGTTGATGAGCTGGATATGCTCACCTAAAGGGAAAGGCGAACTCACATTTCCTTGGCAGATTAATAAACTTGGGTGGATATTCCTTAGGGAAACACAAGTCAGGTGCTGCTTATCCCTCCTTCACCCTGGCCTCAGCTAGCAATGCCACACCTGTCTGTCCTCCTGGGCCAACTGCAGAAAGGAGAACCCCCCCTGGGATGTCCTTGTCCCCTTTTAATAGCACTGGGCCCCTCCAAGCAGCATTTGCAAAGCTGAGCTGAGACCGTATGACAGACCCTGGTGTCACCCACAGAGGAGGAGAGCACAGCAACACTTGCACGGACCCCAGGGCTTCCCAGGGGTGTCTGACCACCCCGTGCACCTCTGGGAAGGGAAAGCTGGGCTGGGGTCAATCACTACTCCCAGGTAACAAGTGACAGGATAAGAGGAAATGGCCTCAGGCTGTGCCACAAGAGGGTTAGATTGGGTATTGGAGAAAATTGCCTCAAAGAAAGGACGGTCAGGCATTGGAACAGCCTGTCCAGGGAAAAGGTGGAGTTACCATCCCTGGAAGTGTTCCAAACAATGTGTGGATGTGGCCCTTGGGGGCACGGTTTAGGAGTGAGCTTGGTGGTGGTGCTGGGCTGATGGATGGACTTGACACACACAGAGGCTTTTCCAACCTTAATGATTCTGTGACTCTCTGAGCGTGGTCAGCTGTGCTTGGAGAGGCAGCTGGGGCTGACACAGAGGCAGCGAGGGAGTGCAGCCAAGGAGGGCTCTCAGCTCACATGCCAGAGAGATGCTCGGGGTTGTAGGGCTGGTGGAGCACCTTGGACAGCAGGTACAAGGGGGCTCAGGCAGGAGCAGCAGCCGAGGATGTGACACTGCCCCAGTGCAGCACAGTGGGCACAGGACAGCCAGGGGTGTTCAGGGGGTACTCAGGGGGTACTCGGGGGGTACTCAGGGGATACTTGGGGTACTCAGGGGATACACAGGGAGTACTCAGGGGATGCTCAGGGGATACTCAGGGGATGCTCAGGTGATACTCAGGGGGTACTTAGGGGATACTCAGGGGGCACTCAGGGGATAGGGGACACTCAGGGATACTCAGGGGATTCTCAGGGTACTCAGGAGATACTCAGGGGATACTTGGGGGATACTCAGGAGGTACTCAGGGGATTCTCAGGTTACTCAGGGGATACTCAGGGGGTACTCGGGTACTCGGGGGTACTCAGGTGATACTCAGGGGATACTCAGGCGATACTCAGGGGGTACTCAGGGGGTACTCGAGGGATACTCAGGCGATACTCAGGGGTACTCACGTGTGCAGGCGGCCGAGGGCGGGTCCTGCACGGCGCGGTAGAAGCTGCTGTCGCAGTGGCACACACGAGCTGCCCGGCTCTCCGAGTGGCTGTGCAGGGGACATTTGGCACACAGCTGGTCCCCAGGGGCTGATTTGTAAAATCCCAGCTGGCAGGCTGCAGGGAGAGGGGCACAGGTCACAGGGATGTGCCTGGATGAGGAGCATCCCACGGCTCAGCAGATCCCAGCAGCACAAAGCTCAGCTCTGCTCTCATGCAGGGTACAGCAAACCAGCCTTTCTCCCCTGCGCCTGGGCGAGTCCCCTCCAGCTGCTCGTCTGGAAACTGGGCTCTGTGGAAGCTTCTGTTCCCCCAGCTGCACTTACTGCCATCCTGACACCCGTTCCCCACTGCTTCACAAGCAAACTTGGGTGCCTCTGCTGTTCAGGAGCTGCCTGCAAAGCTCCAGGTATTGTTGCCCCTGTGCCTGCTGTCCAGCACTGTCTGCCCTCAGGACAGAGAGCATTGCAAGGATCAAACCAAGGAAGCACTGGAAATCTATTGGCAGCTACTCCAAAATACCATTTATGGGGCAAATTTACAACACAGTCCTCACTTCACAGGGGTTGCCACAAACACTGGCTATGTCCAGGCTCCCAAAAGCATCTATGTGGGAAGTTTCAGAAATTAAATCTCCACATCTGGGACATGGTACATGTCCCTCTGCAAGACCCCGGGGAGCTGCCACACAGAGCAATGAGTTTTCTTACACAAAAGGATAGGGAAAGAGCCTCTCTTGTTGCATAGCACAGCAAAAAGGCACTGCACGCCTGCTGCCCTCCCTCTGGAGGCAGAGGGACACTCAGGCCAAATGAGACAGCCTTGGAAAAAAGTTTTTTTCTGACAATACAACCTGCCTGCAGTTCCTCTGCCTCCTCCTGACGCAGGAGCTCATCCCACACCCATTGCTCTGCTTCATCCTACCCCTTCTCTCTGCAGCCCCTCAGGTAGATCATTTGTCACACAAACAAACAGCTTGTCTCTCGTTAAAAATCGATTTCTTCAAGAGTGATATGTGGCATGTCAGGTATCTGTCTGGGGGTGGAAGGATCTGCCCTCTCCTGCAGACTCAGATTCCAAATAAGGGAAATCAGGCTCTGTCTGGGTCCCTGTACTCATGAGGCACTTTTAGGACCAGTTCTAGTGATTCAAGGATTATTCCTGACTCTGACTCATCTCTGGTTTTTCCCACTGAGGTAGTAATACCTTCATTTTCTCATCTTTACTTCCAGTGGCCAGATTTGCATACAAGCCTCAATCTTTGCTTTCAGGCATGCAAAAGGGTTTTTTTGTGATCCAGCATCCTCAGTGGGCTGTGTCCCTCCATGCTGTTTGTTCTGTTTCAAGGTGCTGATTTGTTTTCTTATTAATAGCACTCCTTTCCTTGCCACAGATCTCCCTGGACTGATGCTACCAGCACATTCCACCTCTCACACACTGTACAGTGACACAAGGGCCTTTTTATAACTGACCACTCTAGCAATGGCAGCTGAAGGCAGTGCTCCAGTCATGTATCCCTGGTGTGGGGAGCACTTGCTGGTCCCTCTCTGGGCTCTGTCTCCAGTTTCTGTGGCACTTTTAGACCAAATGCTCAGGAGTGATACCACTGGCAGGATGGACATGTGCTGCATGTGCCAGAGGTGGTGGCACAGGCTGGTGTCACACCTTGGTACAGCAAAGGCCAGCAGTTCCAGACTTTGTTCCTAAATTTCTGCTTCTGCACTCCCCAAAGGGCATCAGGGCAAGGAGCAGAAATGCCCAAAAGTGTGGATGCAAGGGAAGGCAGATGTGAAATTGCAGCAGCTTGGGGCTGGTTTTGTTCCCCAGCTCTTCTGGCACCTTTCACCTCCTCAAGGGCATCAGGAGAGCAGAGAATATGGGGGATGCAAATTTTCAGGGGATTTCATGTCCTCCCAAGGACAGCCCGAAACATTTGGCAGGCTCTGGTGCTGACTGGTCCTGAGGATGCCAAGAGATTCAGGGACTCTGCCCTTGCCAAGTGCCCCCTGATGCAGCACCCTCCAGTCTGCATTACATGAGCACGGATACACCCTGTTCTCATGTGGGGACAAACCTGGGAGGAAGCCCGCTGGTGGGAAAAACCCCAACCAAACTCCCAAAATAAATCATAAGAAAGAAAATTTCCCAGTTTTCCTGCGTGGGAAAGGATGAAGACGCTGCATGAGCACGGATGGGAGCTGAGCAATGGGACAGCCCCAGCTGGTGCTGGGCAGGTGCAGGACAGGAACTGCTGCCTTTAACTTGTGAATGTCCCTTAGACCTGCAAACCATCACCTCCACCCATGCAGCAAGCAGCCACTTGTGGCTCCAGAGGCACTGGAGTGCTTCCCTCCACCTCTGTTTAATTAAGGGCAGAGAAATCAGTGCTACTTCAGGTAGGAAAAGACAGGCAGCAGGAAGGATGGGAACATGAAGCACAGCAGATTTGCACAGAGCAATTGTAATCACTTAGCATTTAATGCTGTAAAAAAACCATTAATTACCTGTAGCAACGAGTCACAATTATTTTAGATGCACTCAAGGGGAAAATTATACTAAATGACAAATTACAGGTGAATTTGTGCGCCAGGGCAGAGCCATCAGGAGCCAGCTCCCAGCACATGGACAGCGTGGGCAGGCAGGGAGGGCTGGGGAGCACCTGGTGCTGGGACAGGCACTGCTCAGGGGGTCATGCACCTCTGGGTGTCTCAGTGCCCACTTCTGAGGGGAGCCGGACATGTGCAAAGCCTTCACGGGAGAGGGCACCAGCTCCAGCCTGCACACAGTATGAGACACCTTCAGTACAGGATGCCAGGCATGTCCTGCTCTGGACTGGGCTCTCTCATGCCATGCCAGTGACACGTGGGAGGCCAGGACGTCCCAGGTTAGCTCTGGGAAGGGCAAACAGCAGAGCACTGACCAGTAGGAAAAATTCAATCAAATGCACCAGGTCTGAAACACACTGGGCTGCACAGCCGTGGTTGTGGCACACACAGGAGCCTCCCAAGTCTGCAGCCAGCCAGCAGAGAGGTGCAGAGTGGCTGTTCTGCTGTTTTCACGGCAGTCAACTATGGCCACCTGCCAGAAGTGCCCTCCCTGGAGCCCTGGGCAAAGTGAGGGTTTCTTTTATTCCTATTATTTTATGTAGTTGACACCCTTGCCCTGAATGTGAGGATCTCAGGTCCTGCCTCTTTGTGAGCCACCAGAAGTGCTGCCATGTCCCAGTGCCAGCCCCTGCTGCCTGTCCCTGCAGTTTGGTCTCACATGCACAGTGGGACAGGAGCAGCCCTTCACCTGCCACTCAGCCCAGAACTTGTACACCTGCATTCTTCCTGCAGCCCAGACCCCTGGGTGATCCTGGTGTCACCAGCAGAGCCTACAAACCCAGTGCTGAACGTGGGCAGAGCACATCTCCAGCCCTGTATTGCACAGGTGAGTCCCCTATGATCACTCTAGACCTGTCTGGGGGGGCTTGCACTGGTCCCCCCACCCTGCACTGCCCACCTGGCCTGTCTGCCCAGCCCACCAGCCCCACTGGCACGTGTCACCTGCCCAAAGGACCCTGCAGCAGCAGGTTTGTCTCAGGAACAGGGGACGTGGAGGGCCCTGCCAGCCATCTGGAGTTCGGTCCATTTGTTTCACTCCCCCTCCATCCTCTGGGGACAGGACAACATCTGCTAATGAGCTGGCAGAGCTCAGGAGATGATGGATGGAGCTGTCAGGGATCCGCTAGCAGGGAATGAGCTGCTCCTCTCCCTCTCAAGTGCTGCCTGGAAGCAGAGCTCTGCAGGTGGCCCTGGTGGGACCACCAAGGGCTGCTCCAGCAGGGCTGCAAATGCCAGCACTGCCCTCATGTCAGCCTCTCCTGGCTCTGTGCTCTGCCCAGGAGCTCTGGGCAGGGTGAGGGCATGGCTGAGGGTGACATGGGGCAGCCCTGCGACACTGGTGCCACCCTGCCTGACCCTTCAACAGATCTGGGCATCTGCAAGCAGCAGAAGAGCAGCCATGTGTCTCCCTTTGGCCATGCTGGGAAGAGATAGAGATGGAAATAAAGGTGTCACAGCCACTGTGACAGCCAGAGACAGGCACCAGTCCCAGAGCCCCCCAGGCTGCACAAGCCAGCACAGAAAATCCCAGCCTCCTTTCAATCCAGTTTCAGCATGATGCCTCAAATCTCAGCTCCCATATGACACAGACACTGAAACAGAAGCCAGTTATTCTCAGTCATGTCTTAAAATGACACATTTGCCTCACTGCCCAAAATCTTCTGTTTTAGCAGGGCTGTGCTCCGGTTTCCCTGCAATCCCAGGTCAGCCCGGGCTCTGTGGCCTGCAGGGAGTCTGGGGGCCTGGCTGGGCTGGTGCTTTCAGTGAGCTCCTGGTGCAGAGGTCGTGCCTGGCCCCAGGGCCTGCTGGTGCTCACAGACCCTCCTTGTGCTGCTTGTCTCCACCCTGCCTCAGCCCTGGTCACCACATCGGCCTGCCCACAGCCCCACTCCCACCCTGCAGCCCCTTTGCACCCCTCACAGATCTTCCCACCCCCAACACAACCCATCTCACCACCACACACCCCTGAACTTGTCTCCTGCTGCCCCAGACTCCACCTCACATCACTTCCCCACTTCTTGGCCCTTCTTCCCACAATTAACCCACTTCACACCCCACTGTACCCCTGAGTCTTTCAGAGGGGGAAACAGGAGGAATTTTTTACCCATGAAAGCTTTGCAAAGCCAGAAGGACCCTGTGCTTGGGGTCCCAGCAAATGGCACACACAGCAAAGGACAGCCTGTATCCTTCTTGGTGACACCCAGATTTCACTGCCACCAGAACAAGTTGTATTTAGGAGGGTCCTGGCCTTCCAAGTGGAGTAATTGCACTTGTAGTGCTGGGAAAACTGGAGCTGCAGTTGTACAGACTGGCTGCATCCCAAACTGGAAATCTGCATGATGCTGCCATAGAAAAATCAGCAGGTCTCAGAGTCACAGAATCACTCAGAACCACACCTCTAGCACAGAATTCCAGAATCCCAGAGCGGTTTGGTTTGGAAGGGACCTCAAAGATCATCCAGCTCCCCTTCCACCTTCCGCTAGACCAGATTGCTCACATCCCCATTCAGCC